ATTTGGGCTTGTTTCAAGGTCATCTCAGGTGCATCTTTTTGTTGAATGTGCTTGCCCCTCTGGAGAAGTGCGGATCCTTTTTTAAATTCTTCCAGGCGATAGAGCTGTGGATCAAGGGGAACTGGGAGAAAATAAGCTTGGACATTTCAAGAAAATATAAATAGTCTTGACCCAGACTCTCTGTGTGGCACGAGGAGGGTGAAGCTCTCAGGCTGTCACTGTACAGATTCCCAGGCTGAAGGCAAAGAGCTGCTCTAGTCAGAATTTTCCACCTAATTTTTCATTTTGACAGAAAATATCAGTGTGAAATGTACTTTTTTTTTTTTTTGGATAGGACTCTGCTCAAACCATTCCTCGTGACTCCTTGTGAATGGGGCCAGTGTCAGCTCCCATGCTGCCTACCTGAAAACTGAAGGTTTCACACAAATTTAGGAGATGAAGTTGCTGCCTCTAACTGATGCTTTTTTTATACAAAGTGGAGAACTCCATCAGCACCACAAGAGCATCAGTCCTTGACAGCAGGCAGCTAATTAGGGCAATAGACCACCATGGACAAGAAGCCTTCATATGTCTGCCTACTTTGCCAGTGCAGAAGACATCGAAATCTCTATGGATGTGCTTAATCTGGGTTAAATTGGGTGGCAGCTGGGTTCCACTGAGCAGAAACAGCCCAAAGCAAAACCAAACCAGGGCCTTGAAGGGGAGGTTTAGATTTGATATTAGGTAGAAGTTCTTCAGGGAAGGGGTGGTCAGGCACTGGAACAGGGAAGTGGTGGAGTTACCATTCCTGGAAGTGTTCAGAAAACGAGTGGATATGGCACCTGAGAATTTTAGTGGTGAACACCTTGGTGGTACTGGGTTGATGGTTGAACTCGATGATCTTAGAGGTCCTTTCCAGCCTTGGTGATTCCATGATTCTATAAAAGAGGAAAACCTGAGACCGGTTGTAATTTTAGGGAGAAATGACCATTGTTTTGCTATAGCAAAGTGATCTAAAGCTTTCAGTGGTGATGGGAGACCAGGCTAATACAGCCAGGGAGCAGCGCAACAAATGACAGTGAGAGATTTTTTTTCCTCCACTGCAAAACTCGGGTACCTTTCCATGCCTGAAAGGAGTAGGAGATTTAAGTTTTGCATTGCTCTAGGTCTCTCTGGGAAGAGAAAGACCTGCAGTCCCTGAAGAGTTGTGTTCTGCAAATGTCCATCTCCTAAGTCCGTTCCTACCTGAGTGAGGATTACCTTAAACACCCCTGGGTAACCATCCCCCTTACCCCTTTAACAGCTGGTGGAGAAAGAACCAGACACTGGTTTTCTGTTGACTCTGCGGGGAGGTTGTAGCTTAAGGAGATGATTAAAATGAAATAAATCCCCAGTGAATTAATTGAAAGGGTCAATGTCTGTAGTTAATCAGTTAAAATTGCCTATGGTTATCCAGCTGTGTCTTTCATGTCAGCTAGAAGATGCTGGTGAGGCAGGAGCCATCTAATAATATGGATTTGTTTGGTGGGTTTTCTTTTTTCCCTCCCCACTGGCAAGTGGTTTTTCAGTGGACACATGGACAACTATGCTTTTGACGTTTATCCAAGGTCTAGTTTTGCCTCTATTCCTCCTTGCTGCTTTTTTTCCACCCCTCATAGTTAGGTGGTGGTTGGAGTAGCTTAATGACACATTTTCAGCACTGATTTTGGTGGTGACAGTTATTAACAGTTTCACGATAAGAAACAGGTGTTCCAGCATGGTCCATCAGGCAGGAGAAGAACAATGCCTCCCCAATGTCATTGTTCATGATGTATTCACTGACTGATGGCTTTTTTTTTTTTTTTTATGAGGGTTTTATTCAACCTCACAGGTAGCATTTACTGTTTAGTATGCAGGCTTTGGGCAAGCTAGTGGAGTGGAAAACCTTTTAATTTCTTTTTAATGCAAACATGGATCTTGCAAGACCTTGTCAAGCGATTGGAATGGGCACAGGCTCTTGCTGATGTCTCTCAGCATCACCTGGTGGTCCCCTGCAAGAAAATCCCGGGTATTTCCCACGGGATTTGTGGCTCAAGGGACAGGTCCGAGCCTGAAGGAATTGGGGCAATTCTCCTATTTTGCAGTGAGGAGCCACACCTGGGATGGTTTGGGCAGAAAACATCATTAGTATAATAGGGGCATTGCAACAACTCCTGGGCTCTGCCACCAATTCCCATGTTCCCATGGATGGGTGGGAAAGGAACAATGTTTTGGAGCATGAGGCTGTCAGTTATCCTGGATACCTTTTCAGATGGGATGTGAACATGGATCCCTTGCCCTTGCTGGTTTGCTGATTATTTGGCTTGTGCTGTGAGATTGACTGGGGGGGCAGCTGTCCTGACACTTGGATCCCACAGTGTGCTGTGCAGGTCTCACATTCCCTGTCCATGCTCCCAGGGCTCAGAGGGAAAGAGTAACCCCACTGGCCATTTCCCCCATGCTGTGCAGGAATTATTCCCTGAGAGAGCTGTCATTTCTGTGGTTCAGGGGGGCTGGGTATCCTGGACACACAGTAGATGCTGGAGTGGATTTTGTTTGGTATCCCTTGAGGGACAACTTTCTGCATCCTTCATCTTCCCAGGAGGAACCTCTGTAGGAGATGGGAAGAGACAGAGCCCTCAGTGCTGAAGGATGCAGCAAAGGGCATCTCTTCTTCTTCCTCGTTCTCTGGGGATGCTGTGGTCCAGCTCTGACTACAGTGCAGGGTGATGCCTGCCTGGCCTTGCTGGAGCAGCTCTGAGCCTTGAAAACAGGGCTGGGAGACACCTGTAGCCTCTCAGACCTTTATTTTGTACCACAACCTATCGATTTATCCACAACCTGTTTCTTTCCTGTTGATATTCGATATCACAAAGGGGCAGGTCAGTGCAAAGGTGCTTGATAGGTCCCCTTGGTCTCCAGTTAGGCAGTGCTGCCTCCCACCCCGGTCCTACTGCTTAGGAGAAAAAGCAGGAAAAAAAAAAGAAGATTAATTGGTGATAAATAATGCATTTTGTTCCTACCTAAAGGCTGTTGGATCTCCATAGTCTTCATTCCTCTGGTGACAGGGAGCTTAGTGTTAATAGCTCTATGTTACCCATCACGGTGCTTAAACAGCCTCATCAGGGCCATACTCAGCCAACACATCCCTGCCACAGGCAGGGCTTCCCATTATTACTTTCTTTAAAAAAAAATAATAATAGTAAAAAAATTCCACTCTCCTGCGGTGAGTTTTCACAGCAATTTCTCAAAGTGAGACAATTAATGAACATTAGACATCCTTTTTTTTTTTTTTTCTGGGAAAGCAGCAATCAGAAGAGAAGATGTAGTATCCCTTTAAAATCTCCCTGTACATATGTACGTGCACACAGAGCCCCTTCAAGGCTGAGAAGAATTGGAAGTGATAGTTACCAGTATAATATTTAAATGAGTGTTAATTACCATAAACCGTTTGGATTTTAATGTCTCCTTCTGTACAGTATGTAAATCAGGGCTGGAATGGGCTTGTGAGCATTCATTGGGCCTCTGGTGTTGTGGATAAAAGGGATGTTTTCCAGTGCTCGGATTTAGCCGCCTGGTTTCCATTAAAGTTAATGGGAGCGATGGGGGTGAACACTGGCCGCTCTGGGGGAGGTTTCCCCTCTCATCTCAGAGACAGCCCTGCCCTGAGGACAACTTGTTCTCCTGTCTCATCCCACTCCCTACCCAGAGGCTTCCCAAGGAGGCTGATGAGATGCTGAAACGACTCGGGTTTGGATCTGGATGGAGGGATGTCTCACTGTCAGTCAGATATAGCAGCTCTTGACCATTTTATTGGGTACTAAGGGGTTTTTATGGGGTTTTAGCATCCAGACCATGAGCAAGTTAATTCCATGGTGCATGGTTTGCTGTACCCACACCCACACTCATCCTGCCTCCATCCAGCCTGGCCTGCACCTCGAGCAAAGGGGAAGGGCCTGGAGGTCAGCAAATCTTCAGGCACCTTGATACTTCCCCAGCCCCCTTGTTGTCCTTTCTCTTTGCCCTCCATGGGGGCCTAGTTTGCCTTGCAAAGTGTTCTCATTATAAATGCATCAACTTCTGCTGGTCTCACACGCGCAGCCCTCATTTAGCCCTCCAAGCTCAATTACATCTCAGGATGTCTTGGGGTAATTAAGTAATATTAGAACGTTTTCTTTTCTATTTTTTTCCCCTTCCCTAATGCAGCTTTCAAGAGCACAAGCCTCGGTTCTCACCCACTGGAGCCCACTTCTCTGAGCCTCGGAGTTCTCCCTAATGTACCTCGCCATGGAGGAAGGCTAATTACATTTCTGAAGGATGTCATTAGTGTCACGTTCCCGCTGGGTTCCACAGGGCTGGCACGCAGCAGGAAATGCTCCCTTAGGTGTCTCTGAGCACCACCATGTGCAGTGCCACCGGCGAGGAGCAGCCGGGGCTCCGAGGGGAGCTCAGCCGGCAAAGCAGAGCTGCTTTGGGCTTTGCTGTGAGCTGTCTCGGATGCTTTGCATCCTTCATCTCCACAGCTCGTCGTGGTTTACAAATATCAACTGATTAAGCCTCTCAGAGCTCCTGTGAGATAAGTAATTGCTACTCTAATGATTGGCATTATATCTGCTCTCATCTCGAAGTGTCGGACGGTGCTTTTCGCTACAAGAGAAATAAGGAGGCAAATGTTAAGCACACAAAAAGATAAGCGATGCTTTTGGGTTATCTGGCCATCTCACCTGCTGGCTGGTGGCCAGAAGTCTGGAGCTACCATAACAGGCACCTCTGGCACTGCTTTTGGAGGCTGTTGTCCACATGCCTCCCTCTTTTGGTTGTGTCAACCCCAATGAGCTCTATTGACTTCAGTGGAGGCTCCTCAGAGGCTTCTCCAGAGGGAAGACAAACCAGAGTTTGTCTGTTTGGGGAGCCCATTGTTTGCATCATGGATGGGAGGCTGGTTCCCAAGGAAGCAAAAAGGAAATGATAGTCACACATTATTATCTTTTTTCTCTCACCAGGTGGTTCCAAGGACAACCTTATCGTTTTAGTCTACCACAGCTCTCCCGTTCGGCCCTGGGCAAGGTGGCCACCAGGCTCCCACAGGTGAGTACTTCTTTCAGGGGGTACTAGAGGCTCAGAAAAGGAAGTCACACATAAATTAGAGCAAAAATTGCCATGAAAATTCTTGTTCATGTGGTGCTGTGTTGCATTTTGTTGTCCTGGAGAGATGTACTAGCTCTGTTAGTCAGGCTGGAACTTGCCGCCTCTGGAAGAGGTCGATTATCCCAGGTAGTCCCTACTCCTGTGGGGAGCCTGATGTCTTCCTCTGCCTGCCTGGCTTTTTGGGACACTTCCATAAGCAGATCAGGGATGAGAATACTGCTGCTGTGGCCCAGCCTCACTGCTGATCCAAGTGGGATGGTAAGGTATCCTAATACTTGATGCCTCCTTGACTCTGAATGGAAAGAAGGCTACATTGGAGTTCAGGGTATCTCACAAGCTTTTTTGCTTTTGATTTTTTTTTCCCCCACTTGCAAGTAGATTTTTTTTTTTTTTAGCCAAAACAATAAGCAGAGACCAAAAGGAAGCAGAGACCTGGCTTTAATATCACATAAGGACGGATGGCAAAACTTTCCTAAAGACATATGTTGTGGAAAAAGGAAAACCCCTCAAAGGTGAGTCAGACAGAACTTGGGCACAGCCACTACAGTTCATTCAGGTCAAGCTGGACTCTGCAGAACCATCTGATTTGTGGTCATTGGTGACACCTGCCCTTGGAGGCATCACACCTGAGGCAAAGGATGTGGAGCTGTCTATCCTTGGGCAACTTTGCTACAGCCCCCTGGGTTTTAGGAAAGCCGGGATCTGAAAGGCCTCTGGGTGATGAGACTGGAGTGAGCTGGCTCGCCTCCTCTCCTCTTCCATCCTTTTGGAGGGATCTCTCACCTCTCTGTATCCACTGTGTGTTGTCTCCAGCCTTGGGTAGAAACCAGGGTGGAAGCCCATTGTCCCTTTTTACTGAACAGGGGGATGGTGCCACCAGGAGCCCCGATGATCCAGGGCTATGTGTGGCTGTGGATGGGCCAACTGCCTTTTCCGTTTCATGCACTGGTGTGAAATTAAAGGGATTTTGGGAAAAAAAAAAAAAAAAGGCTGCACTGGCAAAGCTAAACTGCCCTGGGAAATGTTGTAGGGAGAAGCTAATTGTCCAAGGTGTGGGAATCCCAGGCTTTCCCACAGACTCTGCCTTTCCAGTTCTGGCCAAGCTGCCAGTTCTCTCTCATCTGGAAAGGGAGATGGGTGTTAATAGGGAGGCTGTGTTGAATTTGGGGGGCAAAAATAGGATCTGGGCTGTGAGGGAACTGCTGCAGGGATGGACCAGGGCAAGCACCTGGAGGTGTGGGGCCAGTCCGTGCCCCAGAAATCAGGGGAGGCTGAAGAGAAACACAGCAAGGAGATTAGTCCAGGAGAAAGGAGGAGCAAGCCACACAGAATCTGAGGCAGGGAGAAGCCTGTCTGGTAGGTGGGAGACTCCTAAACCAGTTGATTTCTGTGAACTGTGTTCTCAGGGACCTGCTCTGGCTCTGGTCCCATCTGCGATGAACTGGCAAGGGTTTCACGCAGACCCAAACTGACATTAAACCCTGTATTTCCTGCTCACTGGTAGCTGTCTGATTTGGAAACCATCCTGCTGAAGGCAGAGTCCTGGCAGTGCCCAGTAGCAAAGGGGCAGGAGGCAGGAGCCGAAATCCTGTAGCTGATCCAGCCGCTCCGGGCGTAATGGTGCTTATCCAAAGGAGTGCTGGGACTCTGCTGTGAACACCACATGTTATTTTGGCCGTATGAGTGAGAGCCGAATTTTTAAAAGGCTCCTGTAGCCATTAATCAGCTGCAGGCCAGGGCTGTGCATGTTCCCATGCGTGTCCCATCTGTCCCAGGTCAGGAACCACAGCCTGTGGTGGCTGCAGGGGTCCTGAGGGGTGGTGAGGTTTCCCAGCAGGAAAAGCAGCACCTCATCTACTGTTGAGGCAGGGAAAGTTAGAAGACAAACAAGAAACTTATCTGAGTGTATTTAGACCACTTGAGGTTGCCCACGCTCTAATAACACGTTCTAAAAATTATAGAACCTAATAATTACAGCTAATAAGTCCAAACTGTGTAATTACCCTGGAGCACTTTGAGCTAGAAGGTAGAAATGAGCATGGTTGTTACACACTCGTTAGGTGATCTTGGCTTTCCCTGTTCCACATACAAAATCCAGGAGCAGCAGAAAGTGTAGCTGCTCTTTTCTCCATCCTCATCAGTGCTGGGTGAAGGGAGGAAGACCGCTCTTTTTCCTGTTTCCATTTCCCAGACAAACCAGCTCCAAAATCCAGTTTCTTTTCTTTAAGAGACGATTCCCGATCAGATTTTCAGATCCGGAGCGGGAGGCTCTAGAGGGGAGGTTGTGTTTATTTTTTTCTTCCCACCACTTTGCTTCCCTTCCTAATTAAAGCAGCTCTTTTGTCAGCCCCTGAATTTCTTTCCACCCTCCAGTTTTCCCAGAGAGGTTTCTTTACGTTTTCTGCCTCTAATCAATACACAATTTATATGCAATAACTTTGTCCAGAGAATAGGAAAGCAGGATCAGCATCTCTCCTGTAATTCTGGTGTGCTGTAGCCATGGACTGAAGGTCAATGCAGGCTTGACTATGACTGGTTTTTACTGTCTTTGGGCAACTCAGCAGCAAAATGCCAGCTTTTAAAACCTCCACCCCGTGCAGGAGTGTGGATAGTGCTGTGCCACCTGCCAAGCACACCGTGAAGCTTGGATTCCTTGGCAAAGCTCCCTCCTATGGTCCTGCAACCCTTTCTGGTGGAGGGAGGGGGTCCTGCGGGGCAAGATGGATATCCTGACAGATGCTATTTTCCTCGATTATACAGACAGTGGGTGCTTTGATAGCAGGTGAAGCTGGTGCCTGCTCAGGGAGCAAAGAGGAGAGTTCCATTAGGTGTCCCTAGGGATGGCAAGGCAATTCTGGAGAGAGAACCTGGCGCTGAGGGAGCAGGCACCTCATTTAACCTGCCCCCCAGCCAGGCTCATGCTCATCTGTCTCCTGTCACTTGAGATCCTGCTGTCACCTCTTCAGCATCCCTCTGGCTGTGCCATACCCATACAGCTCCCACCAGGAAGGGACAAAAGGACAGAGAGCAGGAGGGGCAGGAGAAGACATTAGACCCAGGAAGAAGTCTCCACCCTCCACGAAACTTCGGGGGATGGATGTCATCCTCCGTGCCTGTTCATACCCTAACCCTCCCTCCCATGGACACTGCCTGGGAAGAGAGGCTACATCCGTTGGGAATGCCCACTTTTGGGTGTCTCACAGTGGTGGGATCAGTCAGGGACGCTCCAGTTGATGCGCTTAACAAGCAGGGAGGTGCAGACTCGCAGTCATCCAAAGTCTTATTAATCACATTTAATGTGTAGGTTGCTTTAGCGTTGATCATTTTAAAATTCCCTGTTGGAAAGGTTACCTGTGTAATTACAGGTGTAAATCTCAGGGATGTTCTTGCCAAAACAAATGGAGCATCTCACGCTCTTGGCCAGGGATGAACCCACAGAAGCCGTAAAAAGGGTGTGGAATGATGGACCAGGAAATGTTCACCCAGCGCAGGGCTGAGAAGAGCTGTGTAACTCTGGAGATAAATGAGGCATTTGTGTGGTTGGGAAGAGCCTTTGGAGTTGTCCCCCATTGTACAAAAGCAGGACCAGGTGTTGCTCAGGGATGTCTTGAGCACTGTTGGATACAAACTTGGGAAAGCACCACACGGTAGTGGCCCAAAGGGTCCCACTAAGGGGGACAGATCAGGCTCAGAGGGTGAGGAGTCATGAGGTGCCTCCTCCTGAAAGGTCTCAGGTGTGGGTGAGGGACCTCTGGATAACTGGTTTATGAAGCAGATCTTTTGGGAAGTGCTGATAAATACCCTCCGTTAGCAGCAGAAAGCTTCAGTCTCTTTAATCACTGACTGAAAAATCTGTGCTATTCTGTTCTACCAGTGAAGAAAATGGAGGTGGACCTGTCTGATTGCTTGGGGTTTTTTTGATATTTGAGGTGTAAGGTCTATCAGAGCATCATTAAGTTCACATGTGCCCGCAGAAACCTGATTGTTGGGAACTGCCCCTCCTCTCCTGCAAGACATTGAAAAACCAACCTCACACCTTTTCTCCTCTTCAAATTGCAGGTGCCTCCTGCTCAGAGCAGGATATGGAGTAATACATTCACCCTTCTTTGCATTCCCTGTCTCCTGAAGGCCACATTCATCCACTTCCCCTTTTCTGGAGAGGATGTCAGGTGAGTAGTTGGAAGGAGAGGTGCTGATTTGGGTTTTTGGTCTATGCTTGTGCTCAGCACTCAGAAGGAGGATTAGTCGTGGCTCACACTGTCAGAATAAATTAAGGCACAATGACAGTAGTATCTCAGAAGTAAAATATTCTGTATTAGAAGTAAGAAGAAATATTAAAGACTTCAGTGGTTTGGATTGTTAATTGCAGGATGTGTTAATTGCAAAGCAAGCAGCACAGCCTCTTACATAAACTCTAGTGCCCACAGCTTACATTAGAATGGCAGGAAGAGTACATGGGACATCATCTTGATGAAACCAAGGCAAACATCTAAAAACACTTAAAATACTCCTCTGGAACCATCCTCGTGTCTCTGTGGTCTCCCAGTTGGTCCCAGCCCTCTCTGAAAGCATTGCCTGGCTTTTGTCTTTTACGCTTGTATTAGTTGCTTCCAACTTTCTCATCAGCCTCATCTATAAATTCAGACTGTTCTTACAAAAGACTGGTGCCACACAAAACCATTTCTCCCATCCCTGTGCACTGTCTAATGATTATTCCCTTATCCCTTTATATAACTGAATCAAGCCTGACACTTAAAGCACTCCCTTAAGGAAGTTATTGAATTTAACAGGGCTGAAACCAACAGGGTTCTAGAGAAATGCTCTGAAAACCCGGGCAAGAAAATATCCTTCTGATAAGTTTCTGAACCACCCTATAAAATTCTGTGGCAAGACGAAATTTTGCAGGATTTTTTTGCCCATAAAGGCTAATTATGAGTAAATAGCCCCCATTCTTTTATTGCTGACCCTAAAACTCAGTGGATGCTGCTATCCTGATTTGTCTTTTCCAAGCAGAAGGATGTTTTGGCTCTGTTCCTTAGTGATTTGTTCTCATTTGGATCCCAGGTGGAATTTTGTCTAATCCAGAGCTGTGGTATAAAGTTCTGCCTTAAATTGCTCCTTGACAGGATTCTCCTTGTGAGTTCCCTGCTTTTCCATGGCTCCAACAGTGTTGGCTGCTTGTCCATCTCTTTTTCCCCCTTTGTTTTGGACTTCTGAAGGAAGTTTAGTTTATTCATCCCATTTCAGCTCAAGGAAGTGATAATGGATGGGAGGGGAGAGGCAGAGGGAATACAAGGCACTATGACACAGAAACAGGGCAAAAATAATTCTCCCAGATTTTTCAATCCTTCTCCAGCCTTTCCAAGGCAGGAAAAAGAACCCCAACAAACCAGCTCTCAGGAAGAGATGTTTTTCATCAGACAAGGGGGATTACGGAGTATCCAAAGTGTTGATGCTCCATGAGATTTTGTATTGCCTTGCCTGCTAATTCTCCCAGGAGCCTGTGCAAATATTCTTGTGAATGAGAACTCCGGAGCTCCTCCGCTGGCATTTGCAATTCCTTTTATTCACACTGACTTTTTCTTGCTGAGATTGCTCACACAAAGGGCAAATAAATATTCAAAGTGCTCATGCCTGAAATGCTCCTGCCAATGTTATGAAATGCTCTTTTTATTTTTTTTTTTCTTGGTGCATTCCAACAATTTCAATTGATGAAGCTTAAGAGAAACTCCTGCATGGAAGGGTAAGGTGACTCGATAAGGGAGGAGAAGGATCACGTGGTGGTATTAACATCACTACACACTCACCAAAGGGGAAAAAGCACTGGCAGTGACTGGGGACATCCGGATATTAATCGAGGAGCTGAAATGAGTTCATTTAACACACAGTAAATGTTTCATCCTATTGACTTGTTTGTATGTGTGTTTTGTTTCGTGCTCTTTAACAAGAGGAGAGGGGGGAAGAAAAAAAAGAAGCAGCCAAAATACTTGCTGTAAATAATTCAGCTTGCTCTGTTCTCTGTTTTGGAGTGTGGATACAGTGCCTGTGTTTGGAGATGTGGTTCAGGCTGTGTCTTACACTTGGCTCTCAAAGCTATACCTTAAACTTGGCTTTCAGCTCAATCTGATGTGATCAGAGATGACATTGAGTTCTTCCTGGGACAGTGTAGGTAAAAAAGAGCTGAAAGGAGCTGTGAAATCATGGCTTGGCACAGCTGAGGGACCCAAGTGGCTCTTTGCATCAGCAGCACTAATGCATCTCCAGTCAGTCCTCAGCTTCCTCTCCCAGTACATTGAGCTGGGAAGAGCAGAACTCCCTGAGGAGACTGAGAGAGTTGTCTCAAATCCACGACATCACTCTGCATCCTTTTCTGTTGGTGGACCGAAGTCCTGGGCTGCCCAAAACCTGCTGCCTAACTGGTGTCAGCTGTTTCTTGCCATCCACCCCATGACACCAGGCACAGCTGCCTCAAGCCATCTCAGCAGAATGGCCAAGAAAATATTCACTGTGAGGAAAAGTTTAAGGCTTTTTTTTTCTCTAAGTAGTAGATAGAAAGTCAGTTCCATTTCTGGAATTGTTTTTAAAATGACTCTTACTCAAAGAATCCTCTCTTTGAAGGATCCAGGTCTAGAAGAGGCGACAGAGGTGTCTTCTTTTGGCTTGTTTGTGAGGTTGCTGGCCTTTGCAAGAAAACCCAGGGCACCCAAAATAAATCTCCCCTCTCCTATTGCACATTCCCCTCCAGATGCTGAACACATGATCTGTCACCCAAGGCTGGATGTGTCCTAGACCATTTTTCCGAGTCCCTTGGTATGGAACATTTTGGCTACAGCTGGATCGTCAGAGACCACCTGAGTCCCCAGTAAATCTCCATCCTGGGCTGCACCAAGAGGGTGGCAGAGGCACCAGGTATGTCTTTTGAGGTGGCAAAGCAAAAATGAGGCAGCTGGTGGCCAGCAGCACACGGCCCTTAGCTGGAACGTGCTTCCTGCTGGGGCCAGCAGGTCCTACCCGTGCCTTGTCCTTTCTGCTCGTCGTCAGACTGAGAGGGTTCTCTGCTCCTGGCTCCATAAAACTAATGGATTATGGCAGGTGGTGGGAGGAACAGGAAAAATGGCAGCCTGGTAAGGTCTAAAGAGACTATCTGAGTAACTTAGGGTGATCTTCCCAGCATGACCAGTCAGGCCAGGTCTGGCAGGGCCACACCATTCCCTCATTACTGTGCCTACTGAGAACTCAGATGTCCGACCTCAACTATCAGTATTTCGGGTTTCCAAGGCAACCCTAGCTTTAACAGCCTTCATAATGACATCATTTGGTTGAAATGAGCATGCATGATGTTTTGATTACCACTGGAAGTATAAATTAGGTTACTCTCCCCACCCCCAGCCACTTGAAAAATAAATGCACTGGAGGGAGGGGGAGATAAAAAAAAAAAAACTGAGAAGAGGGTAAATGGAAAAATCAATTTTTACTTTAATGGAGTCCTCGTTCAGCATTTCTTCTCTTTATAGATTTAGATAACAGTGATATCTTGGTTTCACAGAGCAAAGAAATTAATTACTTACTAATGGTGCAATTCAGAAATTAATTTATGTTGTCCATTTGAATGTGTCATTATTAATCAATTTAAAGGAAGAGGCCTGTAAGCAGCACCATCTGAAGTGACTTATGTTGCCAGAGGAGTCTTCCTGCCCCCTTCTTTCTAGAAAACACATCATTCCTGCTACCTGTGAGTTGTTGTGCCTTGAACTGCTCTGGCATCCCTGATGCAATAAAAAAAAGGGCATTGCTCAGGCCTGATGGAGGGGCTCACCCTCGATGTGTTTCCCTAGGCAGGGACCAGTGTTGGGGTGCTGCAAAGATTTTAAGGCTCTTTTTGCATTTATTTCAATTCCCAGTGTGAGGTTCAATCCTTTTTGTCCCATTAAAAAGGCAACAGACAAAAAGAGGATGCTGTCCCTGGAGGCCTTGTGGAGATGTTTTGTTGCTGAATTACCAGCACATCTTGGCCAAATCCTGGGGTTTAGCACACCATGTGCTCCCCAGCGGGGTCAGGATGGGGCAGCTGCCTTAGGAGGGTGATAATTAAATTGTCACAGATCTGATTATCTGCTTTGTACTGCTGTATTTAGATGGGAAGAGGTAATAAATTGCACAGGACTCCTCTTTTTCTGAGTAAGGCTGGTCCCAGGCTGGAAAGGGGAATCCCATATCATGCAGCAAGTCAGGAATAACCTAAAAAGTGCTCCTTGGAACCCTCGGGATTTCAGGATGTCAGTGGCCTTCCATAACCAGGCTTTTCCCTGGCAGGCAGGAGCCTGATCTAATGGTTTACACTGTTTGTGTTATTAATATCTCCAAAACCTTGGATCTGCCACATATTTCTGTGTGTGCTCCTTGGGGCAAAGGGCAACGCTGAGGACTTGGGAAGACAGTCCGTGTTCAAATCCTGTTTGGGCTGCTGGTGAAAGGCTGGGATAGCCATTCTTTCCTGTAAACACATGTTCTGAGAATAATGGAATGACTGGGTGGGAAAAGACCTTAAAAATCACTCAGTTCCACCCCCCTGCAGGGACACCTTCCTCTATCCCAGGTTGCTCCAAGCCCCATCCAACCTGGCCTTGGACACTTCCAGGGATCCAGCTTCTCTGGGCAACCTGGGCCAGGGCCTCACTACCCTCCTAGGAAAGAATTCTTTCCTAACATCCCATCTTAACCCTTCCCTCTGTCAGAGTGAAGCCATTCCCCCTTGTCCTGTCACTCCAGGCCCTTGTAAATAGTCTCTCTCCATGTTTCTTGTTGGCTCCCTTCACATTGTCCTGTTAATTTTGATGTTATCCAACTGTAAAACAAAGGGACGTGAAAACCTGCAATTTGAGAGCCTTTTGTGGTATCTGTATTTATATTTATATACATGTTATTTCTTTGCCCCCCTCCCCTTGAAGTACCATTCACATTTAACATCTGCTACAGCAATAATGCTTCTTTATTAGGTCTGGAAAAGTTTAGACATGCGCTGATGGCAAACCAAAGCCCTTATCTGGCTTAAAGGGTTTCAGATTAGTTTCACATTCTTCCTCACTGTTTTGTTTTTCGAGCCAATTACTGCCCTGCTGCCCACACCAGGCACATTTCAGCCTGGAAGTTCTCTTTGTTGAACCAAAACACTTTCCCTGTGAAACGCTGAGTGACGAGGGCTGGAGAGGAGTGAGTAGCAGGTTGCAGAATTAATCAAGAAATCATTTAGCACCTGTAAATAAATACTTGTATCCAAAGTCTTCAGGTTTTTTCTCTGCTTCTCCTTTGTTCTGGATAAATTCCTGGCTTCTGAGCAGGAGTGAGGAGAAGCAGCTGAGATTTCACTGTTTGGTTGGACATTGTGCAGGAGCAGATTAGGGAGTGTCCTCACCCTCCCTTTTGGCATGTCTGCTTGGGGATCACCAAATTCTGACAGCAGGAGGTAAGCCAGGCTGGAAGATGGTGACAACATCCCTCTGATTACCCCTGTGCTCCTGTGCCTGTGGGTGAGAACAAGACTTCAGCTCATCCTGGCTTGTACCTTTTTGGAGCCAGAGAGAGCCAGAAGATACCACAGACTTTAAGTCACACTTGAACTCCCTGAACCCATAAATGTGTTGGGTTTTTGGTTTTTTGGTTTTTTTTTTTTGTGATTCCTGCCATGCAGCAATCCATTTCTCCCACAGTCCATAAGCTATGAGATAACCTTGGCAGGGGGTTGACTGACTGGGCTCTGGAGGGTTTGATGTAGGAATCAAGCTTTTATTCACAGCTAAGCAAAAGCAAAAACGAAAAGGCATAAAAAATGTTTGTATATATGGCATTCAAAATCTTTTTGCTTTCTCTGATGTAGAGATTGAGAGGGAAAGATAAACCTAAGTTAAAAACCTTGACTTTCAAATGTTTAATGCTGATCAACTCCACCTAATTTTCAGAATCCTTGCCACTTTTTAAGATGAGAGAAGAAGAGTCTGGGGCATTGGCAGCCTGAGTTTTATTAATTTCTCCTCTCTTTCCTTCTCTCCTTGTCCAACAACCACAGAATATGCTGGGTATATTATTTTCTGGTGCCCTAGACTTGCACGGAGTCGTGCCATGGTCTTTCATTTTTCTGCTGACAGCAGCTCCACAAAATGGAGCTCTAGGTCCTTGATTGCCCTCACTGCTACAACCTGTTGAATTAATTTTAGACTTCCCTCACTCCTGAGCTATGAGTGGATGGCTCATAAAAGCCCTTGTGGGATGACCTGTGCTGCTCTAAGTCTGTCTTGTCCCCAGACTGCCACAGCACGTGGTAACTGGCCCCAAAACACACAGGAGTTACCTTCCTGCTGGGCAGCTTCTGGAGGGCTGGATTTGGTGCCATCCCTGCCAAGGGACCACAGGCCCTTTATAACCCAGAAAGCCCAGATTCTTGTGATTCTGCAGATGCCCTTATAAAACAACACTGAAAGGGGGAGGTGGGGATGGTGTTTGCTCAGTCTTGCTTCTCTTTAGCTCTGTTATTTTCCTTTGCCAGGTGTAGAAGGATCTCACACGAATTTTCTCACCTTTGTGGTGTGTGCTGCCAGTAGTCTGTGCCGCAGGGAAGGGAGCAGCATGGCTTGAATCTCTCCTCTAGAAAAGATCCAGAGAGCCCTTGCACCTTCTGTGTCCAGTTGGGATCCCCTTTTCCAAAACGCAACCTGTGTGGCCACCTGTAATAGAGTCTCAAGGCCCTTGTATTCCTAGAGCTCTGGCATCTGCCCCTTGTGTTGGGTGCAGGACTCGTGGCTGGTGTCACACACACAAG